AGCAAGGACACAGGTGCCCCATGATTCCCTATTGCCCGGGGGCTCTATGAGTTATCAGTCCGCCCCTGATAGGACCTTGACATAACAATTATGATGACCACTGTGCAACTTGGACTGGATGGTTGTGGTCAGGCCATAGGACACATCGGGCATTTGCCCAGTGGGCCGGGGCCACCTGGATAGGAGAGGCTACACATAGAGGACTGTGCAGTTCTTGGTTCCTCCATGTGCCACCCAGCCGCCTCTCCTATCCATCTCCTGCATCTCCTCCAGTGGCCCCCCTCCCTCATCTACTGCAGCGGCGGCCCTCCTTATCTCCTCCAGCCACCGCCCTACCCTCATCTCCTCCAGTAGCCCCCCTCCCTCATCTCCTCCAGTGGTCCACCTCCTCATCTCCTCTAGCGGACCCCTCCCTCATCTCCTCCAAAGGCCCCCTCCTCCTCATCTCCTCCAGCGGCCCCCCTCCTCATCTCCTCTAGCAGCCCCCCTCCCTCATCTCCTTCAATGCCCCCCCGCTCATCTCCCTCCAGCGGCCCCCTCTCTCATCTCCTCCAGTGACCCCCTCCTCATTTCCTCCAGCAGCCCCCCTCCTCATTTCCTCCAGTGGCCCCCTCCCTCATCTCCTCCAGTGGCCCCCCTCATCTCCTCCAGAAGCCCCCTTCCTTGTCTCCTCCATCGGCCCCCTCCTCATCTTCTCCAGTGGCCTCCTTCCTCAATCTCCTCTATCGGCCCCCTCCCTCATCTCTTCCAGCTGCTCCCCCCTCATCTCCTCAAGCGACCCTCCTCATTTCCTCCAGCGGCCCCCCTCATCTACTCCAGTGCCCCCCTATCTCCTCCAGCGGCCCCCTATCTCCTCCAGCGGTCCTCTCCCTCATCTCCTCCAGTGGCCTCCTCCAGCGGCCCCCATCCTCATTTCTTTTTTTCCTCACCTACAAAAAAAAAAAAAAATAGAATATAAAATTGTGAAAAATTAAATAAAAATAATAACCTACTGACACTAGTGGCAGAATTACCAGGGTCGCAAAGGTCGCTCTTGTGACCAGGCCCTGGCGTTCTGCCACCGGGCTCCGAGGAAAGGGTCCCCGATCTTTGGGTTTCTCAGGGCTATTTTTTGTCCCAGTCCGGGCCTGGTTGTTGTGCTGCAGCTTCTTCTCAGATCGGGGAGTCTCTAACTCCTTTGCATCAGCTACACCCATATATGTGGCCTCTTGGTGGGTGGGCCTTAACAGCAAGAGGCCGCATACTGTATATGTGTACCCAAATTAAACAGAACTGTGCTAAGAGCTTGCACCGTGCACACTCCCGGCACAGTTACCGGCGGCTAATAGGAAGCGACTTGCGATCGAGAGCTTTCCGATCATGTGACTGCTGTGACAGCCAATCATGATGGTGGCATGATCACAAACCCAGCCCCGCCTCCCAGAATCTAAAACCCCTTAAAGAGTTGGGAGCTGCCTGCGTCAAGGGGTTAACTGTACAAGCAACAAAAAACAAAAGAGCGCAAAATACCTAGTGCATTATCTACAGCACTTTATTAAATGGTACAAGATACATATTATACTAACAAACACATAGTGAATAGTAGTGTTTCATAGATTCAGAAACCAGAAGTCTGCCCTCCAACCTCGCAGGTCCAAATGTATGACAAAACTAACTAGCGTGTTTTGGGGGACTAAGGAAGGGGGCTGGTACCTTTAAACACCTTGGTTGGCTATGACATCTGTTTGGACCTATGAGGTTGGAGAGCGTACTTCCAGTTTCTGAATCTATGATACCCTACTGTTCAATTGGTTTGTGAGTATAATTTGTATCTTTTACCTTCTAATAAAGTGATGTAGAGAATGCACTAGGTGTTTGCGCCCTTTTGCTTTTATGTTGTTACTTGACAAATGACATTCAAAAGTGCATCAAAATTTCATTGCTTAACATTCAGAAAATAAATAAACAGAATAAATTGAAAACATCTATATTCAGAATTCCTATAGCCATGGTGAATCCTATAAAGCAGGCCTCACTAAATGGCTGGCCAGGGTCCGAATGCGGACCGAGTCACTGACCCATGTAGTCCTGACATTTTGCAGCCTTTTCTTCCCCCAGCATCTCGCGGTCATCCTCACAGAGCTGACAGCGGGAGGCAGGACAGTTCTTGATGGATTGGTGATTGGTCTCTAGGATGAAGGGCAGTCCTAGCCAGGGGCGGACTGACAACTCATGGGGTCCCCGGGCAATAGGGGATCATGGGGCCCCTGTGTCCTTGCCCAAACTCAAAAAAGCCTATGAAAAAGGCACTAGGGGCATCTCATGGGGCCCCCTACTGACCCCGGGCCCTCGGGCAGTGCCCGAGTTTCCAAATGGTCAGTCTGCCCCTGGTCCTAGCAATCAATCACTGTCTGGCAATCACTGTGTAAGGTAGGACAATGGGGGGGGGGGCAAAGTTAAAGGGGCTAAGGACATTAGTATGAAGGGGGGCTGATGTTAAAAGGAGCCAAGGACTAAATGTGGGGGGCTGAGGACTGAATGTGGGGGGGGCTTAGAACAGTAATGTTGATGGGGAGCTGAGGACATTAAGTGGGGGGGGGGGGGGGGGCTGAGAACAGTAATATGGGGGGACTGAGGATAGTAGTATGGGGGGGGGGGGGGGGGGGGGGTTGAGCACGTTAAACTTAAAGTGGAGGAGATGATGCCTGAAATGTGAGGTTCTAGAGGCTGTGATTTGGGGGGTCCCTGAGGACAGTAATGTGGGGGGCTAAGGAAATGGGGTGTGAAGGCTGAGGACATTAAAGTGGGTGGCTGAGAGCTCTAATGTGAAAGGACTAAATACAGTAATGTGGGGGCTGAGAACAGTAATGTGGGGGGCTGAGTGCAGGAACTTGGGAGAGACTGAGGACAGTAATGAGGGGGCTGAGGACAGTATGTGGGGGGCTGAGGACAGTAATGTGGGGGGCTGAGGGCAGTAATGTGGGGGGGGGGGGGGGGGGCTGAGGACAGTAATGTGGGGGCTGAGGACAGTAACATTGGGGGGGGTGACTGAGGACAGTAATGTGGGGAGATTATGTAAAAAGTGGATGAGTACTCTGCATTGATGGGAGAGAGTTGGGGACACTCATCAAGAGGGGATCTTGCTGTGAATGAGAAGGGAACTGTGATGTGCAGTGGGGATTGAGGACACTGATGTGAGAACAGACTCAGATCTGTACATGTGCATTTGGCGCACACACATCGTAGGTAGAGTAGCCCATTCATTTTAATGGGCTGTACTATCCACAAGAAAACACAACGTGTTTTTTTTTTTTCCAAAAAAAGCAACATGTGGAAAATGCACCGCAAATGCCTACATGAGATTCGGACCTCTGATGCATGGCAATTTTACTGCCCGGACCTCTGTCAATTTTAATTCAATACCCCTGCTATAAAACATGGTCTAATTTGCTCCAGCAGGGGAAAAAGAAATCCTTCAATTTTTTTCATCACTGCAGTTAAAAACAAACATCAAATTGACCCCTCAAATGATTAGAAAGTTGAAAAGAAAATATTTAGCATTAAAGTCTACTAGTGTATGGCCATTAAGTCCCACCACACTACAGTGGCCATATATGGCTCAGTTTTAGTTGGTTTGCTGATAACTCCTAGAGCTGATGTCCTGAGACAACCCTGAATTTCCCATCACAATGCTTTGGTCTACTATTGGACTTTTTTGGGTGTCATTTTGTATAGTAAATAAGGGAAAGAACCATCTTCTATAAGTATGCAGCTTGAAAGTTTCAGTAATTGCTGCTGCCTTTGAGGTTGTACACTTTGACATTATTCTCACGGATTTGCATCAGACAAAGTGATTCTGACCATAGGTGTTACTAGGAAAGGTCTGGAGACAAACAGATCATTGAAAATAACACTCTTCGCCTTTGCTCTCTTTTAAGAGGCAGAGACACACTGATCTGACACACCTTGTGTTTTTGCCTTAGGCTGACTGAGATAGCTGCTGCTTTTCACACGAACTGCATCCTAAACATCTTTGAAAACATAAAAAAATATTGGCATGAATAATGGTGTCAAATTTAATCTAAGTCTTGCCAAAAGGGCCAGGGGCAGAAAATAGAAAATATATAAACACATTACCATATAATCTAAAAGCAAAGGAAACAAAAAATGTATTGTACTTAAAGGTAATTACAGAAAATTAACCTAGACCTAAGGTTTTATTTCAAGTGTAAAGGCAATTGTATGGTGTGGTATGTGTTAAAACCTCTGCCAAGTTTTTATTGCTCAATATTTTTCAAATGGGGAGGAACGCTGGATTACTCAATATATGATATAGAAAGGCGTGAGTTTTTTTTTTTAATCCAGGTACACAGGGAGCTCTATTTTTCCTAGCAAATAGAAACACAGAAATATAAAAGAGTAACAACAGGTCCATGGAGGCTGTCCTATTGTACATATACTGTGTGTGTGGACAGTATATATATATAAATATACACAATATTGCCAAAAGTATTGGCACTCCTGCCTTTACATGCACATGAACTTTAATGGCATCCCAGTCTTAGTCCATAGGGTTCGTAGGTTAGATTTGGTGCACCCTTTACAGCTATAACAACTTCAACTTTTCTGGGAAGGCTGTTCACAAGGTTTAAGAGTGTGTCTATGGGAATGTTTGACCATTTTTCCAGAAGCGCATTTGTGAAGTCAGGCTCTGATGTGAGACGAGAAGGCCTGGCTGGCAGTCTCAGCTCTAATTCATCCCAAAGGTGTTCTATCGGGTCGAGGTCAGGGCTCTGTGCAGGCCAGTCAAGTTCCTCCACCCCAAATGTGCTCATCCATGTCTTTATGGACCCTGCTTTGTGCACTGCTGCGCAGTCATGTTGGAACAGGAGGGGGCCATCCCCAAACTGTTCCCACAAAGTTGGGAGCATGAAATTGTCCAAAATGTATTGGTATGTTGACAGGGCCAAGCCCAACCCCTGAAAAACAACTCCACACCATAATTCCCCCTTCATTAAACTTTACACTTGGCACGATGCAGTCAGGCAAGTATCATTCTCATGGCAAAAGCCAAACCCAAACACGTCCATGGGATTGCCAGACAGAGAAGGGCAATTTGTCGCTCCAGCGAACACGTCTCCACTGCTCTAGAGTCCAGTGGTGGTGTGTTTTACACCACTGTATCCGACGCTTTGCATTGCACTTGGTGATGTAAGTATTGGATGTAGCTGCTCTGTTATGGAAACACATTCCATGAAGCTCTATATGCACTGTTGTTGTGCTAATCTGAAGGCCACACAAAGTTTAGAGGTCTTTAGCTACTGACTCTGCAGACAGTTGGTGAATTCTGCGCACTGTGCGCTTCAGCATGCGCTGACACAGCTCTGGCATTACGTGGCCTTCCACTTCATGGCTTAGTTGCTTTTGTTCCCAGTTGCTTCCACTTTGTTATAATACCACTACCAGCTGACTGTGGAATATTTAGTAGCAAGGAAATTTCATGGATGGACTTATTGTACAGGTGGCAACCAATCATGGTATCATGCTTGTTTTCACTGGGCTCCTGAGAACGAATCATTCCTATGGCCATGGAGATGATTGGAACACCTGAATCCAATGATTTAGAGTGCCTGACTACTTTTGGTAATATAGTGTATATAGCAAAAACAAGGACTGAGGGACTCGAGACATCCAAAAAAGGTTCTGGAAAACGTTTGGGCGTCGTGCATCTGGCGTTTTTGTTTGCGTTGTCCCTGAGTTTTTGCTGTGATCATGGAGCATTTTTCCATGCGGCAAACACGCCGTGATCGCACAAACAAAATCCATAACCTTTGTTGGACATTACATGGTCCTGAAATGAATGGCACTTGAACACGTGAATGCGCGTTTTCACATTTTTACACTGCGTTTTCAAGTCGCGGGCAGAATTGCGGCGATTCCACACAGGATTTGAAACGCCCTAGTGTAAATTATGCCTCTCTCTCTCTCTCTACATATATATATATATATATATATATATATATATTATTATTTTTTCTGTAAAAAGTAAAGAATAAAATTTAATCTGCAACCATTAAGATCAAAATAAATAAGTATAGACATTGGTATCAAAAGTATGAGCAATCCATAATAATCCAACTGGGAGCTTGATATCTCATTCTAGAGCAATATATCAAGCTCCCAATGAGATTATCAGCCCTGAAGAAGGGAGGTCTTATAACCCCCCCAATTGAGTTGGCTTTTCTTTGATTATTAATAAAAAAATAAAAAAAAAAAGAAAAATAAAAGAAAGAGGGGGGCTCCAACCCTTCTCTACACTATCAAAAAATAAAAAATGGCTATAAATACTCCAAAACACATTTGGGTTGGCTTTTCTTTGATTATTAAAAAAATATAGAATGAAAATAAAAGAAAAGAAAAGAGAAAAAAGAGGAAGAATCTAATCCTACCCTACACTATCCACAATTAAAATGGCTATAAATGGGGGCGCATGCGCGGCCGGCTCCTGGATGGACACGCTGTAAGCTCCGCTCCGTCCACCCGCCAGACCTAACACGGCACACCCCGGCCCCGAGGGATATAAACACCATAATCTGACAGGTGAGAGGTAAAACCCCTGGACAGCCAGGGAAATTGACACGATTCTTCCCTGCTGTCACAGCAGGGATCCAAGATGGCGCCGACTGCAGCAAGGAAGGACACAGCAAACATGAGGGGGACAACACAGCCCAGCAAGCAGATGCCAGGCTGCGATACCCGCTATACCCTGGGGACCCTGGTGAGTCATGTCCTCCCCTATCCCCTACTACAAGCAGCCCAGCCAAATCCAGACCCCGTTTGGATTCAGACCACACATCTGCCTACCAGACCTCATCCATAGGCTACCAATGGGGTTTCCCCACAAAAATAACCATCAAACATCAGGGCAGAATCTACACAATTAAAAACCTAGAAGCGGGCATTGACTTATTGAAAATATGGCACATAATACTTGTGGATCCCCAACAATCCACCTCTACTAATACGCAACAAATGGAAGCAGAATGACTCTGACATACCTCACCTCCAATCCACTTCCAACACTTCACCTTGGACGCTATATCCCATCCTACTAATCTCTGGCGATCGGCCCTGTTTAGAAAATGTTCACATTACAAGAAACTGTTTGGCATGACCTCCTTTACGGTCAATGCTTGTTCAAACCCCCCAGTTTTGAAGTAGCACACCAAGCTACTCATATCACTTGCATTTTACGCAAGTTTTTTTTATCCCCTTTCACCTCCTTCACCTCCTTTTCCTCCTGCACCATCAGTCGACCAAATGTACCACCGGTGCAACTGAATCCTCCGAATAAACATGGAATACACCCTCTGACTCTTCGATCGAGCCAATTCCGCGCTACTTAGACTGTAGAATTCTCCCTTTCACGACCATATCCATCCAACTTCGTTCAACATTTCAAACAACAATTCAACTACTCCACTAACCAAACTAAGGACCTACACTATGATCGAGCTTTACGACATTTGGAGATGCCAACACAGCACCGAAAGAGACTACACCTACTACAACCCTTCTCATTTATCCTACTCCAGAATCGACTTCTTTATTACGGACAAATAGACTTTACAACACGTAATATCATCTAAAATCAACACCATAACCTGGTCAGACCATGCTCCAATCAACATAACCTTAGACGACATTCAACGTTCTGCAATTCCTTCCATCTGGAGACTGAATTCTACAATATTAAAGAACTCAGATAACCAAAAATACCTGTTAGAAGCCCACAACCTATTCTTTGAATTTAATGCTACCCTGATATTTCTATAACCACATTGTGGCCCGCTTACAAAGCATACATGAGAGGTATTCTCATACAACTAAATTCCCGAATCACTAAACTAAGATCCCAACAAATTGACCAACTTCTAAAATCCATAAAACTAAACGAAGAAATAATTAAAAAAAACCAAGCACCCTCACATCTGCATCTCTTACCTCAGATAGAAACAAACTCCGAACCCTTCTACTCTACAAATATAACCTCAACCTTCAAAAAATGAAATCACAATTTTATTCCCTAGGTAACAAAGCAAATTCACTATTAACAAAAATAAGCAAACAAAGACGTCTTAAATCTAAAATCTCCTCAATTCAACACCCAACTACTCACACATCGCTTACGAATCCACAAGACATAGCTAACGCTTTTGCAACCTACTACCAAACTCTGTACAATATCAAACATGACCTGGGCACAACCCAACCAACAACACTATCCATACAAAACTTCCTAACCACCACTAATCTACCCCAACTTACCCCATCACAACTCACCTCTATCTCTATCCCAATCCCTCCCACAGAAATAGAAAAAACTATAATAAAAACCCTACCTCTTAATAAATCTCCAGGAAATGACGGCTTCATGAATGAATTATACAAAACATTTGCCCCTAATCTTACACCATATCTAACCGATCTCTTTAACCATGCCGCTTCCACAGGTGAATTCCCCAACGAAATGCTGCAATCCATAATCACCACTATTCCAAAACCTGGCAAAGATCCCCAACTTGTTCAGAATTACAGACCGATCTCACTACTAAACACAGACATAAAGCTCTACACCAAAATAATAACCCAAAGACTGCTTCCCCACCTTCCTACACTAATCCACCCAGATCAAGTGGGATTTATCCCTGGTCGCCAAGCACCGGACGCAAGCAGAAGACTCATATCCCTCCTACACAAAATAGAAACCACCAAACAACCCTCCTTACTCTTATCCCTAGATGCTGAAAAAGCATTCGACCGAATACAATGGCATTTTATGAAACTCATACTTCAAAAATTTGGAATTACAGACTGGATGTTATCGGCAATCCTTGCCCTCTATTCCAACCCTTCAGCAAGAGTACTAACAAACGGCACACTCTCACAGACCTTCCACATATCCAGACAAAGCTGCCCCTTATCCCCCATAATCTTTACTTTACTCATCGAACCCTTAGCCTCAAAGCTCAGAGATGACCCAACATTCACAGGTATCACCCACCTCAAAAGAGAACACAAAATTAGCCTATTTGCGGATGACATCATACTAATGATTACCAATCCATACAAATCGCTCCAAACAATCCATTCACATCTTCAAAATTACTCTGAAGTATCATACTACAAACTCAATGAGCCCAAATCCTATATCCTAAATCTCCATACACCCATTAAGATCCAGGAAGTACTGATCAAACACTTCCCCTTCTCCTGGGAACACCACAGCATCCCTTACTTAGGAATTAAACTCACCACTACGACTGATCAACTATACATCTCAAAGCACAAACTATTACTCGAATCCATCCCACAAGAACTCAAAAACCTTCGCACGCCAACACTATCGAAACTGGGAAGGGTAGCTACCCTGAAAATATGCATACTACCTAAAAGCCTTTATATATTCCGCACACTCCCCATCCCCAATACCTTTTTCTCCAAATTACAAGTAATACTTGCCAAATTTCTCTGGAACTCAAAAAAACCCAGATGTATTACAAATCTCCTAATACGCCCAACTTCTAGAGGAGGAGCAGGTCTCCCACATTTAAAATCGTACTATAATGCCACACTTCTAGACCAACTCTATTTTTGGTGGCACCCAACTAACGAAAAAACATGGACTACCATGGAAACAACCCCAAATCTCCTGCCCACATTACATAACATACTGTAAGGGATTTCCAGCAAGAAGAATCGCGATCGGGAACGCGCATGCGCAAAAGAGATCCCGTAGAAGAATTGCCAGCTGTGCGCAGGAATGCGCGATTGCACACATGCACACGTTCGGCGAAGATTGTGCCAGACAGGCTATTTAAGGAGGGCCTCTGCTCAGGTTCAGTGCTGACTGGTCTTCAGCTCTCCCCGTGTCCTGCTTGTTCCTGTATGATTCCTTTGTTGCTGACCCGGCTTGTTCCTGACCTGACTCCGATTGCTCTCCTGCTCCTGCTTCCTGACTTCGGCTCTGCTCTCGACTTTCGCTTTTCCTTCTGATTCTGTACTGCGCTGCCCGACTGTTGATGACCCCGGCTATCCTATGACTCTGCTCCAGTCCTGTGTCCTGGCTAACTACCTTGCTCTGCTGCACATCTGGCAATCCACAGAACCTGGTCTATCTATTATTATGGTGCCCAAATCAGAGGATACTCTGCCTACCAAAGTCATCATCTGCAAGAGCCAAAAGCAACAACCACTGGCGCTCTTGTCCCCCTGGTCCCTAGACTCCCTCTGTTCCAACCTCAGCGGGGTCAGGGCTAGTGACACAAGTGAGGCCGACCTCGTCTATTCAGTGTCCCATCAGGTACGTGACACATACTGTTCTTGCCACAAACACCTCAATCCAAAAGTCTACCCATCCATGCATTCAAGCCTCCCTACAAGCCTGGTATGACCTCTTAACATCCAACCCAGCAGATACCAAACTAATACCTACCCCGATCACCACACTACACTTCATTATCCCCTCTTTAAACCTACTACAATGGGAAAATCGAGGCATATCCCTTATACAAGACCTCTATACAAACTACAAATTAGACTCCTTCTCGACCCTCCAGGAGAAATTTCACCTACCTGACAATGAAAACTTCACCTACATGAGAATAGCTCACTCCCTACAAAAAATAAACGTTCCACATCTTTTGAAAATTCCTACTACTGCACATCAATTTCTTAACAAAACACAATACCCAAAGAAAGGGATCTCGACTTTCTACACACTCATAACCAGATCACAATTCACCCTACAAACTACCTCTATATCTAACTGGTAGAAAATTCTCTCACAACCAATACAACCCCACACATGGGAAAGAACCTTCAACATCACCCACAATGCATCTAGATGTAGCTCCCACTAGGAATCATATATGAAAATTTTACACCAGTGGTATTTTACACCTGTCAAACTCTCCTTATATTACCCTCAACAAGGGTGGAGACAATGCAGAGAAACAGGATCAACTCTACATATACTTTGGACATGCAAATCTCTCAGATCGTACTGGAACAACGTCTTCCAATTGATCTCAACAGGCGCTGGAGCCCCAGTGGCTCCAAACCCTGCTCTCGCACTTCTTCAAATAGGAATCGACAAATTCCCTAACGACTCTCGCACCATCATTATCCACACATTAGCAGCTGCTAAAATCAACATTACTAAATTATGGAAATCTTCCAAAACTCCTTCTCTCTCCGCCCTTATAATAGACCTCAATTTCCAATGGGATATGGAAAGAAGATCAGCCCTCAACAACTCTTCCCACCACAAGTTCAATTACCAATGGTCTCGATGGCTACAAAAACCAAACTGCTCCATAAAATGACAATATTTATATAAATATATACTACTAAGGCCCTATACCCTAGACTGGTATCCCCTTCACCCCCCCTTTACCCCCCCTGTTCCTTACCCACTTTATACAACATTTCCACCCCTAGATGTGTAAGCTGTGTACCGGGGTGGGCTCCCCAGGATACAGTGAAGTCACGAACGAGGAAAGTAACCCCAACACCAGATTTTGCCACAACAGAATTTTACTTAGATGTGGCAAATAAGCACAACCACAAATGCTGGAAACATACAATAAATTTACATACACCCAGCCCAAAGGCTGAGACCCTTGTGCTGCACAGCACGGCGCCTTCTGATGGATGAAGGTAGAAAGTGAAGTAATTTACCTACTGGCGGGCACAAATATACTGGCTGCCACAAGTTACCCTAAATGAGCAGGAATCAGTGTATGGGTGTACGGTATGGGCTAGCCCAGGGGTGGGCAAACTTTTTGACTTGAGGGCCGCAATGGGTTCATATATTGGACCCGGGGGCCGGACCAAGAGTAGATGAATGATGTGTATGTGTCATCCATAGTAAGTATAGTAATATTCCCCCATAGTAAGCATAGTAATTAATCCCCCATATAGTAATTCATCCCCCATAGTAATTCATCCCCCATATAGTAATTCATCCCCCATATAGCAATTCGTCCCCCATATAGCAATTCGTCCCCCATATAGCAATTCATCCCCCATATAGTAATTCATCCCCCATATAGTAATTCATCCCCCATAGTAATTCATCCCCCACATAGTAATTCATCCCCCCATATAGTAATTCATCCCCCATATAGTAATTCATCCCCCATAGTAATTCATCCCCCACATAGTAATTCATCCCCCACATAGTAATTCATCCCCCATATTAATTCATCCCCCATATAGTAATTCATCCCCCATATAGTAAGTCCCCCATATAGTAAGTCCCCCATATAGTAATTCATGTCCCCCATATAGTAATTCATTCCCCATATAGTAAGTCCCCCATATAGTAATTCATTCCCCATAAAGTAAGTCCCCCATATAGTAATTCATTCCCCATAAAGTAAGTCCCCCATATAGTAATTCATTCCCCATAAAGTAAGTCCCCCATATAGTAATTCATTCCCCATATAGTAAGTCCCCCATATAGTAATTCATTCCCCATATAGTAAGTCCCCCATATAGTAATTCATTCCCCATATAGTAAGTCCCCCATATAGTTTCATTCCCCATATAGTAAGTCCTCCATATAGTAATTCATTCCCCATATAGTAAGTCCCCCATATAGTAATTCATTCCCCATATAGTAAGACCCCCATATAGTAATTCATCCCCCATATAGTAAGTCCCCCCATATAGTAATTTATTCCCCATATAGTAAGTCCTCCATATAGTAATTACATTCCCCATATAGTAAGTCCCCCATATAGTAATTCATTCCCCATATAGTAAGTCCCCCATATAGTAAGTCCCCCCTGTGTCAATTCACTTACCTTTGCTCCTCCGCGCGTTCCTCTCGTATTTCCTGCGCCGTTCTGGTCTTCAGGGAGGACTGTGAGAGAAGAGTTCGTCACGCTGCCCCGCCTACATCCTGGCTGCCCCGCCTACATCCTGACAGCTGCAGAGTCCTGACGCCCGAGAGGAGGGAGGGGGCGGCCATCCTAGAGGGGGGGCGGCCATCCGAGAGGAGGGGAGGGGAGAGGAGGAGAGGAGGTCGCCCGCCCGCCCGAGAGGAGGGAGGGGAGCGGGCGCCCGGCACACAGGAGAGCCGCATCTATTGTAAAGAGCCGCGGCTTGCCGACCACTGGCCTTGCGGGAGCCTAGCTCCGCGGGCCGGATTAAAAGGTCCGCCGGGCCGTATACGGCCCGCGGGCCGTAGTTTGCCCATTGCTGGGCTAGCCTGTGGTGCAGCACAACAGCTTACAATCTTACACAAATCTACAGTATTCCCTCTCCCATAACTGGTCCTGTAGCATGTGCCTGAGTATTCCTTCTGAGCAAAAAATGCCAGACTGGCTTGAGTTTGTAGGATTTTATCAGCTCTCCAATGTGAAATGTCACTTTAAGTTGTGGAGTCCTTCCAATAATCAGTAACAACACTTGTGGCCTGACACAAACAGAGACCCTAACTAACTAACTATAGGCCTGGACTCAGTCTCAAGGCGCCAACACTGAAATGAGGTGCGTGCACGATCTTACCGACCTGGGTCTGCTTTGCATCTGCTGGTGACTCTGAACAGAACAAATGTCTCTCCAACAAGCATGCGGTCTTGCCGTAAATGTTGCTTAGTTCCTCTGCTCTCATCAGCCTTCCTGGCAGTAATCTCATCAGCTTCCTGGCAGCAATCTCATCAGCATTCCTGGCAGCAATCTCATCAGCATTCCTGGCAGCAATCTCTGGTTACTGAGGGGTGCTCTCACACCTGGATGTCATCAGATTCTCAGCTCACATGGCCCCCCTCATTCACCATTCTCCAGAACATGGCTGCTCTCTCTCCTCTGTGTGAAAACTCCACCTCTCCATGAATATAGAAATTTCTCTATGCAGTCTGAGGCTGTGTTAGAAAAACAGTGACATCTTGTGGCTAAACTGCAGAATGTCAGTCAAAACATTTAATTTACTCCACACAAGCAGTATTCAAACAATGAGAGCTGTTTCCCCATCTCACAGATGATTCACACCAAACAGGCAATACTTCTCAAGAAAAACCGATGCACGTTTATAATACCCCCAGCCAAATGATGGGGAATTTATTTCACGCAAAAAGTATTACTGTATTCAACTGTGAACCATATCAATGCACCTTGTTATGTATTGTACTAAAACCTTTCAATAAAAAACATTTGAAATTAAAATGGCTATAAATACACCCAAACACATTGGCTTTTCTTTGACTATTAAAAATAAAATAGAATGAAAATAAAAGAGAAGAAAAGAAAAGAAAAGGAGAAGACTCTAATCTTATCCTACACTATCCAAAACTAAAAAATTTTCTTTGATTATTAAAAAGAAAATGAAAAGAAAAGAGGAAGATTATAACCTTATCCTACACTATCCAAACCTAAAAAAATTACTATAAGTACACTCAAAACTACTGGTGTTTCTTTGATTATTAAAAATAAAATAGAAATGGAAAAGAAAAGAAAAGAAAATGAGAGAGGATTTATCCCTCCCCAAAACTCTCCAAAACTAAACAAAATGCTATAAATAGACTTTAAAAAGTATACAACAGCCCAGATTTCCTGATGTGCTGATCTTATAATGTGTGCTGTAAGCAATCCTGGCAAAGTCTGTTACTTTTGCAAAATAAAAATTACAAGCAGCATGCATATAGTATTTTAATCAGAATCCTAATCTGAGTCACTAAAATATTTCTGCTCTGACAATAAAAATGTACTAAGTAGTGCATTTAAAATTATATAAACACACAAAAGTACACTAACAGTCCAAAATAGCCTCAGGGTTTCAACCCTTCCCTACGATTTTCAAAATGAAAAAAATAGATTTGACAATCCACAAACTTTATACAAAATTCACGCAACTTTTACTCAAGATTCACTCAGTTGTCAAAATTACTGCATGCATGTTTTGAATTCAGTTGGGAAAATATGTGAATCCTGGGTAAAAGTTGAGTGAGTCTTGTATGAAAACATTTATAAACAGACCCGATGGTGTAAACAGGAAAGATATGTGAAAACCTATAGCAATCAATCAAAATATGTATCCATATATCCAATGTACAATTTTAGTGAAAGCGTGGTTATACTTTAACCACTTGTCTACCGCGGAATTTTATCCCCTTCCTGCCCAGGCCAATTTTGAGCTTTCAGTGCTGTCGCACTTTGAATAACAATTGCGCGTCATGTAACACTGTACCCAAACAAAATGTTTTTGGTTTTTTTGTTATACAGATAGAGCTTTCTTTTGGTGGTATTTAATCACCACTGGGTTTTTTATTTTTTGCTAAACAAACTAAAAAAGACTGAAAATTTTGAAAAAAAAAGTTTTTTTCTTAGTTTCTGTTATACAATTTTGTAAAAAAGTAATTTTTCTCCTTCACTTATGTGCGCTAATGAGGCTGCAGTGATGGGCACTGATAGGCGGCACTGATGAGGAGGCATTGACAGACATCTCTGGTGGGCACTGAAAGGTAGCACTCATATATGGCACTGATAGGTGGCACTGACTGGAACTGGTAGGTGCTACTGATTGGATCTGTTAGACGGCACTGATGGGCACTGACAGGCAGCACTGGCTGGCACTGATAGGTGGCACTGATTGGCGGCACTGATGGGCACTGCAAGGTGACACTAATAGGAGGCACTGATAGGCAGTATTAACTGGCAATGATAGTTGGCATTGAAAGGCACCTCTAATTGGCACTGACATGTGGCATTGATGTGCACTAATATGTGGCATTGATGTGCACTGATGGGCACTGACAGGTGGCAATTGTGGGCACTAAAAATCAGCACTGATGGGGTTACACTGATTATCAGGGCACTGATGATCAGTGCCCTGATGATCAGTGTAGATGTCCCCTCTGAGGAATGCCGCTTACCGCCTCTCCTCTCCTCATGCGCTGTCAGTGTGAGGAGAGGACTGCCGATAACTGGCATTTCCTATTTACATGCAATCAGCTGTGATTGGATACAGCTGATCACATGATACAGCCTGTGTCATCGGCTCTTTACTGCGATCAGTGATCCGCTGTGTCCCAGGCACACAGTGCACCACCAATCGCCACACCGCGTGCCCCCGGGGCGCAGATAGAGTGAGAGGATGTAAATTTTTTGTTTACTTTTACTGCAAAACATTACCAATTTTTATTTTGTGATTTTTACAGATATTTGCTCTAGCTGGTTCTTACAGTTCTAGTTGATAGAGGCTCTCTTTTCTTGAGTAGTGCTAGTGATCCAGTAGCAATTGCTCTTTGGACCATACTAACTAATTAAATTTTATACATGGAAATGCTGTTTTTGTGCTTTAAAACCAGATAAGGTAACTAAAGTAATCTTTATCTTAACAGATTTACCTAAAAAAGAGAAAATATGAATGCATTAAAGGTCTGTGCAATTAAACGTGGCAGCCTTATATAAGGATTAATGATGATATACAATGATTAAAAAGGTATTAATCATTTAAATAAAATACAGATGTCAAATCAAAGCACTTATTATTATTATTTATTATTATTATTGCTGTTGTTGTTGGTATTGTTGTCTTGGGCTTACAGCACAGGTAGAACTTAGGTTTAGTTGTTCTAAGTAAATGCAAATGTGTGACCATACATGATGTAAACTGAGAATTTTCAGGAAATACATTCCATTCTCATCCCTAGAATATCCTATTTGGCCAAATGCAATATATCAAGTCTAGACCTTTTTTTTTGCTCTCATTTATTCCCAGGCAGATCATGATGCACTGTTACAGCTATTACTAAACAGCACGTAATAAAACTTACTAAAATGTAATGTCAAATAGGAAGAATGCCGAAATATTCCAAATCTTGTGACGTGTGAATAAATGGACAGACTGCCAGAGAGATTTTGCTGTCCATTATCAACTGCACATGAAGAAGACATTTTGTAGCATAATGGAGTTTCTGGAACGTAAGGATGAATATACAGCTTCTTATAAATATGCATACTAAAGTGATTTTTTTGTTTTTTAGTTTTGCATCTAGTAATGAAAGGTTAAGACATTTGTCAAGTTTTTCTTTTGCTGTCTGTGTCCCATCGGGGAGCTGTCTCAGAAACATAACTGGAAGTAAGACAAGGGGATATCCTCCCTTGGACAGGTGTCCTCACCATTAAGTTTCCCATTGCAAGAATTCCCCTTTTTTTCCCTGTTTCTGTGACAACTCAAACATTTAGAATTTTATATCCCTTGCTGTATTGGAGACAATGCTCACCATAACCCAGGGGTGTCAAACTCAATTTCATTGCAGGCTGTATCAGCATTTTGTTGTCCTCAAAGGGCCAGTTGTATCTGTAAGACTAGATGTACAAGCACCCCAGCCCCACTTAATCAAATGTCAAGAGATGCCCCACAATCAGAAGTCATGAGTCTCCCACCCTCCCTTTCATTACAGTGCACCCCCTTACCTTGTGGTGCTGCTGGGAAGAAGCTGAGGGGTGGAGCTAGGAAGCAGAAACTCCAGGGTCTGGAGGAGATCCAGAGGAGGACTTGAATCAGCTGCCAGAGTCTGCTGAATGCTGAGACTAGGAGTGATGGAGATGAAGGGTTGCTGTGGCTAAAACAGAAAGGTGCAGGATCGTAGGAGGAGTTCTGTCCCCCTTTCTGCTGCTACTGCTGAGACAAGGTGGGGTAAAGACAAGGGGGGGGGTGCTGCAACTTCAGGAGAGGTGCCACAGGAGATGGCCTGGTGAGACAGATTCAGCCAACGTTGTCTTGTGTTTGACACATGTGCCATAACCAGTAGTTAGCTTTAACGTTTCCATCAGGCACACAAGAAACAGTTGATGTAGACTTTGCAGAGACCATGTGGCACTTACAATGCAGAAGTCAGCTTTCCTCGGTCCTCTAAGGCAGACAAAAGAAACAGGTGGGATTCTCTCCTCCCTTTCTCTGCACTGGTCTCTAAGCACTCAACAATATGAATCTTACCAGGAGAATCTAGCAAAGTACAGTGGGGCAAAAAAGTATTTAGTCAGCCACCAATTGTGCAAGTTCTCCCACTTAAAAAGATGAGAGAGGCCTGTAATTGGCATCATAGGTAGACCTCAAGTATGAGAGACAAAATGAGAAAAAAAATCCAGACAATCGCATTGGCTGATTTGGAAAGAATTTATTTGCAAATTATGGTGGAAAATAAGTATTTGGTCACCTACAAACAAGCAAGATTTCTGGCTCTCACAGACCTGTACCTTCTTCTTTAAGAGGCTCCTCTGTCCTGCACTCATTACCTGTATCAATGGCACCTGTTTGAACTTGTTATCAGTATAAAAGACACCTGTCCACAACCTCACACAGTCACAGCAGGAGGTTTTGTCATGGAGACTCAAATCTGCCTGTCCCCTGACAGCGTGAACCTGCAGACCTTCATAAAATTGTCTGATACACTCTAATATTTATTTCAAGACAATATCTGTCTCATTTCTCTGTCTCTTTGTGCATCTAATCAAGCTGCTTATGTATTGTTTTGCCTCTTTAAAATATTTTTGGCTTCTATGTCTTAGATGTTGTTGTTATTATTGGATAAAATCTGCCTGGTCTCTTTTTATTGGCTCACACACTCTCAGATACTACACTCTGTTTACTACAAGATAAAACCTGCATTGTCTCTCCCAATTTGTGGTCTTTTTAAGTGCTAATGTAAGTGCTAATATACTGTTCTGCAGCTGTCCTGTTTCTACATAAACATACTAGCAGGCTAGACAGTACTGTGCAAAAGTTTTAGATGGGTGTGAAAAAATGCTCTAAATTAACCACTTGAACTTTGGAAGGTTTTATCCCTTTCATGACCAGGCCAATTTTTGCTATTTAGCACTGTGCT